TTGTTGTCCTCTTCTCTCTCTCTGCCTACGGTTTTACCGGGCAGTTCTGTTTGTGACGATATATATATCGTCAAATAGAACTGCCCGGTAAACCGTAGGCAGAGAGGGAGAAGAGGACAACAAACGAGGGGCTGTGACAAATTGTTTATATATATATATATTGTACTTCCTCCAATGGAGTGTTTTTGCTCCGAACTTTGTGGGCCTTGAAGCAGCCCAAATCTGGGGACTTTCTTTAAGCTTTTCAGTTTTGTCAGTTGGAGGGACGGGGGGAAGGGGAGGCGTGTACCTTCGTGTGATTTCCCCCCCATTTTTCTATCTGTGATTCAATAAGGAATTCCGAGGTGACCGTCAACCCAAAAAGTTGTTTGCAACTTCGCATTGTAAATACTAATTCCACACAACACATTGTTTTTCCCTATGCTGGGCAAGGTCCCATTTGCGTGGAGTACGAGATAGGGGCTCGTTAGACACTCCTTGGGCCGTCCTCGGGGCTGAAGGAAGTTTCCTTCAGGGTTTTGAAGGAAATTCCCGCCATCGTTCCACCTATCCTTGGGGTGGTCTCCCAAGGATGATTCCTTTTGGCCCCCGACAACCATTTTCATAATATTATAGTCGGCCACCGGGGGGGGGGCAATGCATTGGTCCATTGGGTGATGTCCGTCTCGTTATGGTGTGGTCCAGCTGTTGAAGGCGGGAAATTTTGAAAGGCGCTGGTGACGGAACCCCCCCCCCCCTTAAAAAGCAATGGACCTCCCCGTTCGAAAATCAAATTTTGAATTTGGGTGCTGGACGTCACCACCACGACGCGGGGCAGGTGGCGTCCATATCAGCGACGGTGGAAACAACAATTTGCAGTGGCGCAGTGGAGTCCTCGTAAGTCGTCACGAATTTGTGAGCCCGTGAAGGCCCATCGCCGTCGCCTCCTCCTGCCGCCTCGCGTATGTGTCAAGTCGAGCACACGCGGGGAACGGCGTCGGTGACTTGGTGCTGAGGTTACCGTGGTTGTGGCAAGTTGGTAGGCTGTTGTGTTTTCATGGTTCATGAGCATTGCAACACACGTGCCGATGGAGGGCGGCAACGAGGACGGACGTGCGAAGTTGACGACGATCGAGAAGACGGCCGTGGCGGCGGCTGTGACGGCCGTGCTCTTTTGTTATCAGCAGAAGAGGGCATTGGGCAGAATGAGAGCGCAGATCTGCGCGGAGGAGGTCTTGGTCGAAGGGCTAGATACCGTGGCCATCATTGAGGCTGTAGTTCAGGTTTGTTGCGCCATGGGTTGCAGTGTTCTTCCACAAGCGACGCCGAGGTGGTGGATGAAAAGGAGGACGGGGGGCGTGGGCGGATCTTAGGCAATGCGATGATGCGATGGAAGAGTACTTTTGGGAGAAGTTGCGTATGTCGCCATGTGTCTTTCGGGCGATGGCGATTGCATCCTGTGTGGACGAACGCCCACGGGACGGGCTGCTGATATCGATGTCGACTGCAGTCGGTGTCGATCCCTCGTCTTCTCTACTGGAGGCCTTCGATAGAGGTCGGCCATCAACGATAGAGGATGCACATGTGGAACAGGAAGACCACGACAAGCAAAATTGCAACGAGGAGCAGCAGTGGCAACCTTCAATAGAGGTCGGCCATCAACGACAAGTACGACAACGCCGTAATTCCACGACGACGGTGAAGGTCCACCGAACAGCGACGATGAAGGCAGCAGACGGTAGAGGACATACGACACATCCACTCTAACGGGTCGTACGCCCTTGCATTGCAAGCCGGGATGTGGCCTGTCGTGGAGTGGTCCACTGAAGACCTGCTATTCGCCTGCTGTCCGTTCATGATGATGCCCTTCTTTGCAGAACGCCTCTTGCGTGTGCATCCAGAGAGCCTGCCGAGGACGCAGACGTGGAAGACGATTCGAAGGACAAACAAAATGATTATCAAGAGCAGCAGCGACAACCTTCGAAAGACGTCGGCCATGAACGACACATAGGGAAGGGCAGTAACTGCACGGCACCGGTACACCACCACCAAACGGTGACGAAGAGGGCAGCAAGCGGCAGACCGCAGCATCCGACAAATGCCCTCTAACGTTTCATGTGGCTGAGGGTCGACTAAAATATTCAATTTTCCCGACTGTTGAAGCCCTTTCCCTTTGGCAGCACGCACTGTGAGGGAGAACACTGGTTGGGGACGTTTGCGGAGGCCGATAGGCCACCAACGGTTACCGTTGGCGTAAGGTTCCTTGAATTCGAACGTTGACGACCCAAGATGTCCGTGCGGTGGCTGGTAGGCTCTCCAATGGACCAGCCGACAAAAAAATTGTTGTCGACGATGTGTGCCATCGCCGCTCTGATTGTCGCGGATGCTTGACCTCCAAGGGTCCTCGGGAGGTCCCATGGAAGCTTCCCTTCCTCCTGGACACCCTTCCAACATAACTTTTTCAAGCACATGAGACTGGCCATTCTCATGGTCATCTAGAGGATGAGGTGCTCTGCAGAACGCCAAGAACAGGCTTTTGGTTTTCACCAAGCCAAAGCAGAACTGCTTGAGGTGATCAGGGCAAACATGTTGAAAGCCAGCAAAGACTTAATACAAAACAAGTGGACCCCGCCACGGCTACGCCGTGGCACACAGCAACAATCGCTGATGGGGTCTCATTTTTCTTTCATGTCTCTCTTTCTCTCTTTCTCTCTCTCTCTCTCTCTCTCTCTCTCTCTCTCTCTCTCTCTCTCTCTCTCTCTCTCTCT